GCGTTGCCTACTTTTCGGCGTGTGTCTTAAAAGGCGCGTGACGTCCGTCCAGCCAGCCAGCCAGCAGCCACCCATTCGCCCACATAATTTCCATCGCTTTAGAGCCTGGCATCTGGACGCTATGACAAATTTAATTACCAACTGCAAAGCGCTGTCCTGCCTGCAATTGATAACCCAAGTTCAGTGAACCGTTCACAATTGATAGCTATTAAAATTTCTGGCATGCCTGCGCACTGATCACAACAAATCTTTGCCAAGGTCACACCCTCCACTACCTGGCTGCTGCCTAAAGGGGGAAAACTTAAAGTCCTACCTGGTAAACTTTTTAAAGCTTTACCAATTTACGAAATTAAAAAGGACAATATTTTTAAGCAGAAACTTCAGGTAATGGGTATGTTGTATATAAGACTTGCTTCACTACGTTGTGTTGAATATTTTTTAAATTAAAAAAAAAATTATATATATAATCAAATATTATTATTATTTTTTTAAATTTTTTTTTAATAATGTATATGCTTATAATAAAAAAATACAAAATAATTAAGAAATAAATAAAGTAATGTTGATCAAAATGTTCAAATATTTTATTTATTAATTTATTATTTATTTATTATGAATATTTTTTAAATTAAAAAAAAAAATTATATATATAATCATATTATTTTATTTTTATTTTTTATTTTGTTTTTTAATAATTTATATGCTTATAATAAAAATATACAAAATAATTAACAAATAAATAAAGTAATGTTGATCAAAATGTTTAAATATTTTATTTATTATTATTTGAAAATTAAAGTATGCAAATAATTTTGAATCTCTAAAGATGTTGTATATAATATTCATGTTAATAATACTTATATTAAAACAGAAATATATAAATATGTAATAGTATTTAAATGATATATACTGCTGTTAATATATACTTTATTTTTATATATTTATATCATCATGCCATCTTAGAAGTTATGCTATAGTATATTTGGATTTTCAAGAATAATGTTTATATGAAAAATACATATTACATATATATCTGTTGGAATCAGCAAATTCCTTTGCGCGAACAAATCTAATATATGATGACAACTTCCAATAATCATTCATAAGAATTTATAGAATTATATGAAAATATATAATACACCTAATTAATCCAATTCTAAGAGTTCCTAAATACAACTTCTTAGCCGTAGACAGGCCTAGCAAATAAATTATATTTATACTGACAGATAGGTGGAATCGTTTAGCCTATGCGAGTGCACAAATCAGGTGCATGTGCTAATTCGTAGGACACATGGGCCGGTAGCAGGAGCTGGCGTTGGGGCAGGAACATTTGCCAGCAGCAGCTGTCAAGTGTCTTGAATAATTTATGAATTGCTCGCAGCTGCGTGATGTAGCCTCAGTAGCCTCTAGCTGAGGGGGCGGGGAGGGGAGAGGGAGCAGCCGTATATGAAGAGTAAATTAATTTCGCATTGCTGGGCTCTGCTCACGCTGAAAGCTAACCCAATTTTAAATAAGGCGTCAAGTTATACTATATATATTCCTTCTGTGTAGCGCCTCCAATATCGCGCTGACTCCATTAGCACCCCCAATTATGGCATTTTACGCGATGGCTTTGCAGGAGAAATCGTCGCAATTGGAAATTCGCGCGAAGGATTCTCTTTATTTCACGTTATTATAGTCTGCTGCGCGCTTTGTCCAGACGGCGTACGGGGACGGCCCGGCGTCTGTGTGGGGCGGGCACTGATCCGGGTCCGGGTCCAGGTCCGGAGTGTGTACACAAACGCGTTCAGTCGTGCGTGCATTTTCCACCCTTTTTACTTAGTGCGATTGCTTTTTGCAGGGGCAGAGACTGAGCTGCGACTCTGACGGCGGGATCTAAACTTCTCGAATGCCAACAAGTGGCAATGACAATTGAATCTGCTGGCAATCAAAATCACATAAAATCCCAGCCATTGAGCGTGCATTTGTTGTGCTTGGGGGAGAACGAATTGAGGGCGTACTTCAAAACAGTTGATTATGCATATATTGGTTTTTATTAGTACTTACTTGTGATATTTTAGCATTATCAAACATAATGTTTGCTTTCAATCCCAGCCGAGCCAGCCGTAGAACGACCTACCAAACGAATAATGCGTAAAGCGTCTATCGATAGCTGCTGAGCGCTTGAAGCCGATAGTTGGCTCAATGCATAATGAGTTTTTAAATTAGTTTTCAAAAGAAATACAATCATAAAACTTGTAATTTATGCAAGCCTTATCAGCACTTATGTACCTGCTATTGCTATTGCTCTGGCTATTGCGCACAAATGAGCTCAGCTCGAGTCTGCAGCTTAGTAAGTTTTCTGTTTTTCAAAATGATTACCCAACTTACAAAGACTTGTGAAGAGCAGAAAAAGATGAGAGCAGCAAACGACTTGCATGAAGTGCCATCAAGTACACCAACAGCTGCCACACACACACACACACACACACACACACACACACACAGACAGCGTTACATGTTGCTACGGCACACCCACCCACAGATTTGCAGATACACTGACAGCCCAGTAAATTTCTTTTGTTTTCTTTTCATTAACGCAGCTACAATGTATAAGCCGGGCTACTAATTGCAATCAAGATAACTTCAACTTGTTGCAGTGCTTGTTGTGTCCCTCTTCTGCAGTTACAGCAAACAAAAAAACAACAAACAAAAAATCGCATTACTATCGAGCATCGACGACAGACAAAATTGCAAAAGCGAACATTTGTCCACGATGTTTTTTCTGTTTTTTTCCTGTTTTTCTCATCGGTACTGAGTGACTGACATTTAGTGCGCTAATGAATAGTTTGCTGAATGGGGGAATTTGGTGTTGACAACTATCGCGTAGTCAGCACTTCATTCGCTAATTAAGAAATACAAACCACTTGAATGCCTCAAGAGACTTTTTTAACTAAACAACTTCGTATGAGTTACTTTTTTTTATTGTTTAAAATTATTTAAGGATCTTCTTAGTCCTTAACTTTGGATATGTGCTTGATTAAGAGGTTGCACTAGATGTGAAGCAAGCCAGGAGTCATTCAACTCTGTTTTTTCTCTATTTTCATTTTCGTTTTAGCATTAGACGGAGCGTGACTAAGTGAACGTGACGTGTTTTATGGCCTTAGTCACAGTGATTAACACCTACGACGAAAGAATATGCGGTAAGACAAGAGCTATGCCGGCATGACATATCTCAGATATCTATATCTGACTGGTCTTAGCTGGTCTCGGCAAAAGGAAGACTTCATGTCCATTAGCCTGCATTTCAAGGTGTACGCAATAGCTGCTTCGCTTGGCCAATGGAATTTTGAGTTAAACATATTAAATTTTGTATATATACATATATGTTTATAGACTCTCTCTCTCTGTCTCATATAGGCATGCATATGTGTAGTGAATAGCTTTAATATATATTCTTTACATTAATAAGCAAATTACATATATTTGGATATTTTTCTAATGATAAACAAACAAAAATTGTTTTGCTACCCGCTTAAAACTATAAAAGGTTTACTTCAAACCCTAACGAGTCGACAGAAAAAAACACGCCTCGCATGGCAGAAAGGCAACAAAAGCTGAGTGGGACAAATGTAAAATATTTCACAGCCCGAGGCTGGGTAAACATCAACAAGCAGTCGGCGCCAAAAGCCAAATGTCCTTTTTTATTACCTTTGTCAAATGCACAAATAGCTGAAATCCACAGCGCTCAAAGCATCCGCACTTCCCCCCATTAACCCAACAAATTTACACATTTTGTAGCCGACAAAAATAAATGTAAAAAAACAAAAAACAAAAAACAAAAAAATAGAAGAAACTGAAAGAAAAGGGTAATGCGAAAGGTAGACCCGACCACACGTCCTTTGCCGCTCCAATTCCGTGCGGCGTGCGGGCGCTCAACCAAATATTCAAACGTCTAAAAGTATACAATAAAATATTATATCGTAATAAAAAGCAAACACACGGCAACGAGCGCTCGAAGGGGTGTAAGGGGTGCTAGAGGGAGGAGGGGGAGAGTCGTTATCATGCGATTGAGCAATACTTTTCGTGTAATATTTTCTGAGCCTGTCGACAGGATGCGAGAATGGAAGGATAAGAGCCCCACCCCCACACACACACACACATTGGAAACTTGTCGCAATGCCTCAAGATTTATAGGAGATTTATCGACGGCTTTAGCTGGCGGTGCAGCTGCTGCTGCTGCTGCTGCTGCCTCTGCTGGTGTAGTCTTTGTTTTAACAAGCTGTTTGACATGTGCATATTACGTATACGCACAGCTAAACGATGTCCTTGCAGCGTTCAATGAGTTTGCTTATCAAACAGGGATCTATTCTGAGCTGTAAAGGAGTCTTGCGCTACTTAAATTATATAACCGGGTTACAGCTTAGCTATTTGAGATTTGGTATGGCAAAACGAGAAATTAGTTATAATTGATAGTAAATTGAATTGAATGTATTAAACATTTCATTTACTTTTATATTCGCCCTCAAATCATTTTTAATTTATTTGTAAAATTTATTTTTCCCTTTGATACCTGACCTTCAATGTGTTTTTATCAAAATTTGATGCGCATTTACATATTTTGCTCACAAATTTCATATTCACTATGCGACAAACAACAACAATTTAGTCATTCATTGTTGTTCGCGCTTGAGTTGGCCTCGATTGGTGACGTGTTTTGTGTTTTGCCCACAAACAAGAACTAATTCCACATGCTATATAAATACATGTTCATACATACAATATATTATAATATATTTATATCTATATATCTCACATATCTATATTTCCGCAGACCTGAATGAATGACGAGCAACTGGCGACTGTTTTGAAAGTGAATTTTATTGTAAATAGTTTTGCTCAAATCCTAAATGAGTTTTAAATATTAAAATAGTTTTCGAATACAGTAAAGTGCATATAAAATTTTCCTCTATTTCGTCCGCGGCAAGCAAAAGTTTTTCTCGACATTTTCTTTTCTTTTGATCAAAATGAAAGCGTGACGTCACGTTTCAACACACGCACACACACACACACAAATGCCCACGTATAAAGAGAGATTGAGAAAATGAGAGAATACACCGAATAATAAAAGATATATATAAAAAAAAACAAAGCCCATACAAAAATAGTCAAGGAAACGTTTCCTAAAGTAACTCTATAGATCCTCGCATCTAATCGCCGAAGAGTTTCTTGCCCAGATCCATCATTCTGTGGTTGCGGCACACGCGCAGCGCGTCGGCCTTCTTGAGGACGGCCACAACGTCGGCATTGACGTCCACCAGCTGGGAGAGGAAGTCCTCGTAGGCGGACTTCACATTGGCGGGCAGCGTGCCGATCTTCACCTTCTTTAGCGTCTTCACGATGCCCTCGGCCCAGCCGGACTCGAGCGCGAACTCGGAGATCCAGGGCACCAGGGGCAGCACGCCGCACATGGTCTGCATGCCGAGGAACCAGAGCTCGGAGACGTCCGACCAGACGCCCTTGTAGGCAATGGACACGACGAGCGCTGTCGGGTCGTTGCTCTCGTCGATGTTGTAGGCATCCCAGAGGAAGCGTATGGTGGCCTGGATGTAGCGACATATCGAGAAATCGTTCTGCTTCACCTTCTTGGACTGCTGCTTGAGCAGCAGCAGACCCAGCACGGCCAGGTTGCCATGGATGACCAGATTATCGGGCGTGTCCTTCAGCTCGGGCAGGTTCTCCACCACGAACTTGAGCAGATTGGCAAAGGTGGGCGCATCCTCGGCCCGCTTCGGCTCCAGCACCGTGAAGTTCATCAGGATGTTGCAGAGGGACACAATGGCGCTGCGCGCCTCCTTCATCTGCGCCTGCTGCTCCGGCGTGGGCACCGGGTCCGGCTCGTTCATGCGCTTCAGTCGCTCCGCTCGCGGTATGGGCGGCCGCTTCCAGTGGGCAATGCTGAAGTACAGCTCGAGGGCCTCCAGCAGCACCTCGTCCTGCTTGTGCGTGAACAGCACGCGCCTCGCCTCATCCTCGACGGCGAAGTGGCACAAGGCGGGCATCATGACGCGCAGAATGTCGACGGGCGGGCTGCCCTCGCGGGGTCCGGCGCGCCAGGCCTTCAGCTCATGGAAGCTCTCGTTGCCGATCTTGAGCATGAAGGGCAGCAGCTTGTAGATGGCCGGGCGCATGGCGGTCGTCTCCTGCGCCAGCCAGGCGGACAGTATGCGGACCGTGGCCACGATGAAGGCCTTGTCGCGCGGATTGGCGCTGTCCTTGATCTTGTCCTGGCTGACGCGCGTCAGCACGGCCATCACCTGGTTGAAGGCGCCCTTCAGCGCCGTGTAGGTGGTCTGCTTCTCCTTGGGCTCCAGGTCCAGCTGATCGCTGGCCATGTACTCGATGCACTGCTCCAGTATGGTGAAGCAGCAGGTGAGCAGCTCCGCCTGCTTGAAGGTCGTCTCCAGCTTCTTCTCGTCCATCTGCATGCGCACCTCAATGGCCGCCAGCTGCAGCAGCATCAGGAAGAACTGCTTCTGGTCGTCCATGAAGGCCCACTGCATGCCGAGCACCTGCAGCGTGGTGGCTATCAGGTGCAGGGCCGGATCTCTCTGCTTGGGCCCAATCTTGGCCTTCAGTATGTCGCCGCAGCCCTTAAACAGGCTCTCCGGCCAGATCTGGCCCTCCAGGGAGTTCAGCACGATCTCGCGCCGGCAGGTGATCAGGATGTCAGCCAATATGCGGCACAGCTCGTACTTGCGCTCGGTGTGGTCCGTCTCCATGTCGAGCGCGATGCGCTGGATGAGTGCATGGAATGCCGTGGGATCCTCCGGCCAGGAGGCCACGCCGAACTGCTTCACCAGCAGCACGATCAGATGCAGCGCCTCGTCGGTCTGGAAGCTCTGCGCCGAGTAAATCTGCGACATCTTGGGTATGGCGCCCGTGGCCAGGAGAGCCTGCTGGCCCGGCTCGTAGCTGGCGATGCTCTTGAGGCAGCTGTACGCCTCGCTGACGACAATCAGATTGTCCTCGTAGTCCTCGTCATCGGCCTGCTCCACGATTTCGAGGAGCGTGGGTATGGCGTCGATGATGTCCTTGTGCGTGGCCAGCTCCTCCTCCTGGCAGAAGCCCGTCAGTATGGACAGGGCGACGCTCTTGTACACCAGCGGCGGGCAGTCGCTGGGCAGATCCTTGGACACGAGCAGCTTGCGCAGGAAGGGGAAGCCGATGGCCTCGAACAGCAGCTGCTTGCCAGCCGTATTGCAGTCCTTGCCCTTCATCAGCTTCGTGACCATGAAGAGGGCAGCAAACTTTTCGGTGTCGCTGCGGGTGCCCTTCAACAGATTGGCGCACTTGCGCACGGGCTCCGGCACGTCCGTCATTCTGTCTGTGTGCGCGCGTGAGCTTTGCTGCAGTTCTAATCGAACTCAATATATATGTATATATATATTCTCTAGCTATCTGTGTCTGTATACAGGCGTCTATATGCGGCCGCTCTATAAATAGCTCTCACACTTTCACTTGGCTACACAGTTCCCGTTGGCTCCCGTTCGACGTTTCGGCTCTTCCGTCTTTTCTTTCCAATTTGATTTTGGGGTCCTCGCTCGACGACGCACTCTCGCGCACTGATCGCCGCAGAGGCATTCATCGCCACTCGTTTCGAATTTTCCAAAGTGAACGCCGTGCAGCTGTTGCTGTTCAAATCTCTTTTGGACATGTCAGCGAAACCTACACAAATTTTATTTTTACTAACGAAAACACTTGTAAAACTTTGGGGAGGAAACAGTTGAACAATCACTTTGTCAGCTCACATATAATATAATATACATACATATTATATATAATATGCAAAATTTGCTTACTTTCCATTTAAATAAAAATATATTATTTTCATTGAAGGAACTTGGGAATATTTCATGTCCTGATCTATTGGAATAATTTATAAAAAACCTATGCCATTTCTCCTATTGCTGTTTTTCATGTTATCTTCAAAAAATTAAATTTCTTAAAAAATTTTTATTATATTTTAAAGTATATTTTTATATATTATTATTATTATTTTTTTTTTTTGCAATTCATAATAAGTTTTTAATTTATTAATATTTTTTTATTATTATAATTCTTTAGATTTTGGTATATATTTATTGAATTATTTATTCCAATTTCGATAGGGCGAGTTTCTTAGAGCATACAAGCCCCAGCATTACATTATAATATATTTTCTTACGATTTCCCATGCATACGATATGAAAATCAATTTAAATCGAGCGTATGACGAGTCATCTTAAACAACCCATGCGATGCACTTACTCTCTCAGCTTTTACTCTCTCCCTCTCTCTCTCTCTGTTTCTCTCTCGCTCTCTGTCACTTTCTCGCTCTCTTCAGTTTTCATGCTCGTGAGCGCTTGTTGTGTATATTTAGAACATGATTTTACGTTTTTCCGACATTTACGTGTTTATATTTTAGACAAAACTGTGAAAACTCAGCCGCCGGCTGCATTTGTTCCAGAATTTTTCAACATATTTGTTTTGTTTTTTCTTTCTTTTGGCTATTTTATTCGATTTCTATGCAACTCTGCGTCGCTTATTTATATACAAGGGTACACACATACATACACATATATAGAGAGAAAGAGGAGAGGTATATAGCTTAAAGAAATTCGGATTTACTTTATGTTTTATATATACAATGTGCCGGAGGTGTAACTGTATTTTATTAAAATCTGTTCATTGCCGTGAGAGAGCAGAATGCATATAAATAAATGAATTATTTGTAAAATATATTGCGCATGCATACATAGATATATGCTTATTAGCATATACATATATATCAATATATAAGTGTATATATGTGTGTGTGTGCGTAGGTGAGCTCAATCGCATTTGTTTTTATGCACTGCATCATTATTTGCATATTTTATTTAAATATGTTTTTGGTTTATTCATTTGGGTTCAATGAATTTAATTTTGCGTACCATTGCCTTTGTTGCGCTTTCAATTTATATCGCTTCATATATGTATATAATGGGTATGTGTATGTGTATGTGTGCATTATATTTTTGCATTATTAATTGTTGCTGCATTTATTGCCCACAATTCAAGATTTTTGGAATTTATGTCTGTTTGCAGCATTACCATTTTATTTAATTAGAAATCATTTTCATTTAACGCACGCCATTTGCAGTCCCAATATGGTTTATTTATTCAATTATTTAATATACAACTGTATTTTGCTTTATTAATCAGATGTATTCAGATCTATATCTCTATTTATTTCTCTTCTTATTGTGGCAACAGGCAATGCCCGAGCAATGATGTCATTGATATTGCCAGACACAATTTGTATACATATATAATATATATATATATTCTTAAATCAAATTTACATACAGAATATATTTATGGAATATATAAACTTAATATTCAATTAGTTAAGTAAAAGTCTAGGGTATCTGCTCGTCGTTCACGCCTAGTTTTCACTATTTACTTATGATACATGGCATGCTAATTGTCATTCATATACTAAATATTTGTCTATTAATGGGTCATTCGATTATTTTCACATGAGGCCACACAAAAAATACAAGTGGATAAATATATAATACCAAAATTAGATCTGTTTGAGCGAGAATAGCTTGGTTAGAGAGATCTCTCGTAAGCATATAAAATAATGTTAAGCCTAAGCTAAGCCGCATAAAGTGGCATCTGCAGTTGGTTTGACGAGTATGTCAATCATAACGGAATTCGATATTGCACATCTCTGTATATGTATACAGATATCTCTTTATATTGGCACAATGATAAACCAGACGCATGCCGATGTGCAAAAGCTGATTGCAAATTTAATTTGCATTGACAGTTGGCTGGGTTGGTTGCCTGGTTGCCTGGTTGGTTGGTGGGTTCGAAATATTAACATAATATAAATGAAATGCTTAACGGCAGAAATCCATTCGAATTGTGTTTGCAGGCCAAACCAATTGCAAGCTGCTTACGACTGAATGCCACATGCAAAAATCATACTCGTAATCACCAATGGCCATGGACAATATTTGGAAACATTTTGCATGAAAGCCGCAGCTGTTCACTTGATGAGCGTTGCACGACTATCAGATATCCTAGTTGTGGAATGCGGAGTAGTTCTTGATATATGCTTTATATGTTTTGTGCCATGAGCTTGTTTATCTCTTTGCATTCTCTATTTGTTTTCATACCGGCTTCTCTTCTTCCCTCGCCTATTTGCCACAGTTGAAAGTCAACAGGGTAAGGCTAAGCCGCCGTAATGCTCGCCCGTATATAAACTAATTCGTGTCCCGTAAAATTGCTCTGTTTGCGTTTGTTATTATTATTTTAAATTGATAATGCAGGCGTTTTGTCTCATGCGGCTGTGGGAGCTGTGCGCGTATTTGGGGGATTTACAATAAGTGGGTTAGACGCGAATTTATGCATTTCAGCCCTTGCATGTTTCACTAATTATGCCAACGGTATTATACTAATTGCGGAAATATGCTGGCACTGGCCGGGAGAGCAGCACTCGTGCTTGTTTATCCGCTGATTAAATTTGGCGTGGCAAATTGCAAAGAGCATATATTTAATAATTGACAGCAACATATTTGCCAGCAGCAGCCAGTGGGATGGCCCTTAAAGAGAGGCTGATTCCCGCTTAAAGTCCGCTTTTTATGCCCTTTTTTTATGCTTGACAAATGTGCGGACAAAACTTGAAAAGTCATAATGACAGACAATTTATAAGAGTACAAGAAACTGGGGCAGCATTTCTCCACATTCCGTGCCATCGAGATGAGGAAATTGCTGATGATAGCCGAGCTTCAAGTTGGAAATCAATGTTGATGATCTGTGCTGAACAGTTTGAGGCCAGCCCGAGAAGTTACCAAATGTCTAATGTTGGCGGTTAGCTATCTATTTACTTGCCGAGGCCGAGGTTGAGGCCGAGGCCGGGGTTGAGGCCAGGCCGCAATTGTTGCCCATTGGCAAATTCGATGAAATGAAAAATACAAACAAAATCATTTGTCAAAACATTTCGAAAGAGCTTTATAAACTCTTGGCTTCAATAACAGGCGGCAGGCGACAGCTGCCCCCGTTGCTAGGCTCTGCTCACTCTGCTCACTCTTGGTCTTTAATCGATGGTGTCCAGTGACGCAAGGAAACTTAACATCCAGCCGAAGCAATCGTTGAGCACAATAGAGGCACAGTGTGAAGGCGGAAGCGGATTCGGAATCGGAATTGGAAGAGGAAGCATGAGTGCGCATGTGAATGTGAATGTGTGCGTGTGTGCGTGTGTGTGTGCGTGCCTCAACTTTGGAACTGTTTCGGCCAGAATTGCTGCGTCTCTTCTTCTGTGCGTCTTCGCACCCGCTCGTGATTAGTGTTAAGAGATTTTTTTCTCTTTTCGTTTCGATAGAATTGCTTTTCTTCTGGCGTTTTGCTTGCTGACTTTTTGCCAGACATCGTTTGTCAAGCGATTTATTTCAATTATTTATTGTGATTCAAGCCCTGATATATTTGTAGTCCTACATCCGAGCTGTGTGAATAGTGAGAATGAAAATCAATTTGAATGAAAACTGAGACGATTTCCTAATTACATTTTCAAATAGTCTTGAGAATAAATTGCTCGGGATTTCTCTCTGCCTCAAGCCCAATATGCCTCCTAATCATGTTTCATTATTATGAGCATATATTCCCAGTCAAATAATTGCAAATATTTAGCCATTTCCATTGGCATGTTGTTTTCTTTGTGAAACTGAGGCGCAATGGGGAATAAATAAGTTTTCTCGGAATGCCAAACTTTGATTATCTTCGACTCCACATTCCCAATCGCCGAGTCTCAATTTACTCGCGTTTGATGAGCTGCTGCGACAAAAAGACTCGCCGTTTGACATACTTATGCTCAGATTTGACCTTTAATCTGGCGTCAAATGCAGAGCTTAAACTTTAAAAATAACACGAAGCCCCCAGCTGGGAGGCACTTTGGATTGGTTTTGCTTTGTTTCGGTCTCCGGCTGTAGTTGTCCCCAGTTAGTTGGAATGGCATTGGAAAACTGTCAAATAATCATATAGAATGCAAAAGCCTTTTGGCGCCAGTCGGTTGTTTTTTCATTTTGCACCACCGGCGGGCACCACCCGACCACCCGACCACCCCAACCAGCAGTAGCTGTGGTGCTGGCGTTCCGTTGGGCTTTCACCCAGCTGTTTGCCAACGAGGCACGTGCCAATTTAAATGCAAAATCAAAAGCCGCCCGGTAAGGAGAAAATTTAATTTCACAAGGCAGGCAGGCAAAACAATCATATTTTCTTTTCGTTTCCACCGCCCCAGCTGCGCATATGCACAAAAGCCCCACGGCGAACGGGAGCAAGGAGTAAGCAGACACCAGGTGAGCAGGGCCCAGCCTCCGCCTGTTAACGTTCTTTTTTCCCGTGTCTCTCGCAAGATATCAATGACTGATTAATGCGCTGCTCGTAAAGGTTGCCTAGTTACCGTCGAGCCACACGAGGGGACAGACGAGGCCTCCAATTGTGGGGCCGTTTTCAAATTTCGATGGCACGTGTCTTCGTGGTGCTCCTCTAATCACGGCTCGATGTGGGGGAAATCCGCTAACAATGTTTTACCACAAACATAAACAGCTAAGCAGAGTGAAAGCCAACCAAAGTCTGCGTGAGATCCGTATATCAAACACTTAAACGCCTTAGATCAAAGCACTCATATTTGAAATGAAATGCATATATAGGGTTTCCAATGAGGAGCGATTAAATTAGATCCCATGCCAGCAAGTCGTCTATTTCTGGGAATTAAATCAATTGAGATACAGCGAAGCCTATTTGTCTATATACGGTTCAATGAAGGTAGGTGAGTAGAGTAAAATCTGGTTTCTAGAACAATGTGCTATAGTCTCTCCCCATCAATCGATAAATTGGCCAATCGATAAGTCGGCGCCGAGCAAGCCTGCGTTTTCCTTTTAGCGCCAACAATTTATGCAAATCCGCTCGAATGGCTTATGCTTCATGAATTTATATGGAATTGGGGGCGCGCGTCTTTAAGAGTCCTGCCCATTGAAACAATAAAAGCTCATTTGTTGCTATTATCGTTTGCACCAACAAACAACAAATCATCGAGCCAGCGGGGCAATGGGGGGAGCAGAGCATAAAGCACACACACCGACATACACAGGCGCCCACCTGTTTGGGTTTGGCTGGGGGCGTGGCTTATAGCCGAATCGTGCTCAACGCTCCGCGTGGACAGAAGCTGTGCGCTGATGCCGCACAAACGGCTGCCAATAAATTGTGTTAATAAACCAAAAGTTGTTAATTTAAATGATTTATATCTGAGTCAAGGTGGGCGTTTGGGCGTGTGGGTGCGGCTGTGGGCTGTGTGGGCGTCGCTTGTTATTCCAGAGCCTCAAAAATTTACGTAATTTGGCATAACCTTTGCGAGGCTGCTCCCCAGCCCTGCCAGCACTCCGCCTGATGGCCCACTCTGCCGACTCCTGCTCGGCCAATGGGTCATCTGTGTGGTGCGTGGCGCTTACCCGCCGTCAGCTTAAACCAATTTACGTAGCTGCGATGTCTTCATTTTGGCAGCGGCTCAGCGCCGTGTGTTGTGAATTATGTGCGCTCCGTTCCTTGGCAAAACTGGGGCCAACTGTGCGTATGCGTAATGTGCGGACGCAGACCGAGCCGAGCGTCAGGCTGTTGTCTATGCCGTGGCCTACCCACGCCAGCTACTATCGAAGGCCAGCAAAAACTTTGGCAGTTTCACGCGCGCATCCTTCTGCTATAAACATACATACATATATACACGGTGTATATGTGTGTGTGTGTGTGTTCGTAAAGTTGTATATAAATTTATGTCTTATTGTTTGCAGTCGAAATTATTTCATTTGTTTGACTTTATTACAAGCAAATCCCGTTCAATGCCGTCCTGCCAAATGGGCCTATGTGGCGGGGGGCTGGGCGGGGCAATCGTGTACCATTTCATTTAAGGCAGCAGCAGCAGCAGAGGCCGAGGCAGAGGCAGAGGCAGTGGCAGAGGCTTCCATTTTCCACAGCGTTTGCTTTTAATGGTCGGCGGCTGTTTGGGGGATTTTCCACATCTTAACTCCGGCCGAGACCTACAAATATTTGATGCTCACATTTTTCGCTGTTGTTTCGTTTTATTGATTGGCGCCGTGCCTGCTTTATGAGCCTGTTCTATAGTTGTTGTTGCCGTTGTTGCCGTTGTTGTTGTTGTTGCTCTTTTTGGCTTTGCCGCTGCTTTCAAGCGTAACACTGCGCTACATTGTAAAGGATTTCGACGGAATTTAAATGTTTGTCCCAGCAGCTTGACAGGAAGTCAATCTTCCTCTTCCGCCACGTCACGGCGCTCAGCCTGAGCGTGAGCTTGACTCCAAAAATTTGTTTTAGTTGCAAATAATTAACAATTGATTAGCAACTAGATTTCGCCGGCAGAGAGCCAGCAAATATTTGCGTCAGGCACGCGCTTTCAACTTTTCAGAGCCAATAAATGTTTTTTTTTTCGAGCTATTCTATTTGGTATTTAAGTAGAAAAAAAGGCAAGAAGAAGAGGTTAACGTTTAGTTTTTATATCCGACAAAGCCTAGATACATTTGCTATTAAGGTTGGGGTCTTTCTCTTATGTGAGATGGGGCCTTTCGGGGCTTCAATACCCTGCAATTCCAGCTCGCTCAACGTAGTCAAATATTAATGGACTCGTGCACATAGTGCGACATGATAATAAATTTGTCAGCTGATTGTAAGTCACATTTCTGCTCTCACTCTCGACTGCCAGCTGCAATTCCTTTGCATTCGACTTATGCATTACGAGCAGATTCATTGAAATTATGCAGTCTTTTGGCAGGTGAAAGCAGGCAGCAGGTGGAGTCTGTTTTTGGCTTTTACTTTTCGAGCTCGAGCTCGAGCTGGCATGGCATGGCATAAATGAATATAAAGCACTGGTTTACAACAGTCATTTGATGGGCGCTCAAAGGAACATCCAAGGCAGCCCAGCTTGCGATTGTTGTTGCCTCTGCATATTTAATAGAAGCATGAATTATGCAAAATTGTTGATAAGAGCGAAGCACTTCGGCTGCACTGCATCATCGGGATTATGGCTGAAGCGTATTATCAGAGTGCACTAGTTGGGGCCGAGTGTGATTTGGCACGGGTAAAAGTGACACAGAAATCCTTTATGAACGGCTCTTGAATAGGCGAGTGCTTGAGCTAAGCAAATTTGCAAGTCAGCTCGTAAAGTTTGCGATATAAAAATAAAGCGGGGAATGAAGCTAGCCAAAATGCAAAAGTCATGGCCAGGTCAAGGCTGTCAAGGTGTGTGTGTGTGTGTGTGTGGGCGCTGAAATAAATTTGCTATTGATAGCCGAGCGACGAGCGGTGAGCGACGAGCGCCCAGCCGAAACTTGTAATCAGTTGTAAAAGGGCTGTGCGCCCAATTCCCCAGTGGCTCTGACTCGATTCACACCATAATCCAATCGTTGGAAGCGCTTTTATGGTTTCCACATGGCAAATCGCGTGCGAATTTGTATTTGAATTTGAATTTGTTTTGCGCATGCCGCCACGTGCATGTGCCAGCCCCATCCATGCGGGCGCCCAGTCCGTCCCAGCCCCTTCCACTGCATACCATTTGTTCAGATCCATTCACATCCATCTAAGCATCGTAAATCCGGGCGGTCGGGCGGTCGAGCGGTCGGGCCGGGGCGGTTGCTGCTGTGCCGCGCCGCGTGTGTCCAGGTCCTCCGGCATAAGGACATTCCGGTAAAGTGCTAAAAAACAAACGCAGCGAATCAGAAAACACTGGGAGCACAGCAAGTAAAATAAATAAAATATCAAATATAAAAACAAGGTGATTTGAGGCATTCTTTTGAAATGGTCTCTCATATTTTGAATGTTATTTTTGGCTGTTTGTCATTTGTTTTTCAATACGCCGTGCAGAGCTCCGGGTCGGGTGGCTGCATAAAGCACTGAGCTTAGCTTTATTTAGTTTTGAATTTCATATATGTTTTATTGTGTTTTGCAATTCACAATATAATTTTTGCAGAGTAACTCTAAGTCGTTCTTTCTTCGATTAGCCTTTTCCATTGCTGTTGCTTTCATGCAACGCGTCTA